TACGCCTTGTTTCTGACTATGGTTTTTACCTCTAGAGGGGTTGATCCCTAGGCCATGGGAGACCCAGCCATGAAAAATCACTCGATATGAGTAGGTAGGGAGGATTTTTTTTTCTTATTACCGTAGAGGGGCACAATTGATTCAGTTACTCATTTGACAAGTCCTACACCGGTGAAAGTTGGGACTAGTGAGTAGAGTTTGGTCCATCGTTTAAAACCAATAATCAGGTGATCTATTTACAGGGTGTTGAAACAGGATAGCTGTTAGCTTTTGCCAGAATGACACAGCACAGCATTTGCTATATTCAGGTAGTTCATACATATAAGGCAATGTACATCTCTCATTCCGAGTCTGTTTATCTTGGATTTACATTGTTACCAGATGAAGTATACAGCTGTAGGACTTGACTTCAGTGGGACTACTCATATGTAAATAGTGACATAACTGTTTAGCAGATGAAGCCTAATTAAGCGGGAATCAGTCATACAACTTTCCCCTCTCTCAGACAAAAGAATGTGAAGAATACTGCAGAGGCATTGCTAGAAAGTCACAGTGCCTTGAACGAACCGGCCAAACACCCCAAAACCCTAAGTGAGCTGCAGATGTTGGTTCCCTGCCTTAAAACATCATTGAAAACGATAAGCTATTACCGGTTGGCTTTTTCATGTACTTGACAGGCTACCAAAATGTGTGGATGACTGCTAAGCACACGCTAAAAGACACCTTGCATCCATTACGCACGGGCTGCTCCTTCAGAGATCACTGAAAACCTGCCACAAACACCAGCGTTGGCAATCCGAGCAGAATCAGACGATAACAGTAGCTGTCAACTTTATGGAGATGCTTCTGAAATAAGAGCAATATTACATCATCGCTGGTGTGAAACAGGGCTGCCAGCTTCTCTCTACGCCAGCAATATAATGGTGTGTTTGAAAGAAAGGTCCCTCGGGGTCATTGTGTACTAGTTTGGCTGGTAATCTCCCGCTTCTTCAACAGGCAGATTTGGCACCTGCCCTGCTACTGCCCGGAGGGTAAATACCATCCTCCCAGTACATATTTAGGGTAGCCTCCCATCAAGTGTTGGTTTTCTGTGCCTGATCTCCTCCTCCTGGAGATTATCCCGCTCTGATATCTCCATCTTTTCCCTGATCTTCATGCTGTAAGTGTTAGCAGTCTTTCACTCTGCCTCCTCCCTCCCTGGAGGAGTTTTCCTTTCTTTCCGAGCCTACTCGTCTTCAAACTGCTCCCAACTGCGTATATTCCATGCTGGTAACATGCAGATGAACATCGTAGTCATGATCCCACTCAGATACTAAACAAGCCTCCCACCAATGCCTAGTCCTCCTTTAAAGTGCTAGAACATTTCAGCTTGCTTTCAGTCTCCTGAAAGCACCAGGAAATCCTCTGGAGTAGGCAGGCAGCAGCAAGTGTGTTTGTACCTCAGGGAACAGCTCGGCACGGACTCGCCTCCAAGCACACATTTGGAGGGAAGAGAGGGTGAGACCCCCAAGATGGAGCGGTGGGTCCATAGCCAGCACAGAGCCTTGGCTCCTGTCCACCTCAGCTCAGCGCCCCAGGAGAGGGGCATCAGCATCAACAGGAGGCATTTTGCACGCTGACTTCTTTTAAAATCACAAGTTGTGCCAAGCTCATGTTCACACTTGGCAAAACCAGGAGAGAGATCCAAAGGCAGCTCAAGCTCGGTATGCCCAAGGAAACCCAGACCTGAGTCTGGGATATAAGTCAGGATAACATCAGTGTTTCCATCATCCAAGGTGGTTGGAGCAAACACCTTGAGACGGGTGCCTTGGCTCGTGCTCCTCACTGTAGCGGCAACGGTGCAGGCTAGAGTGGGAGGAAACATGGCAGAGGGTGGGTGGGTCTGCCAGTGTTGTGTCAGCCACCTATTTGCTCATGCTGGGGAAATCCTTTGCTCTGCACTTTCAGCTGCCTCTAGGACACCTACATCGCTCTCGCAGCACACCGGGGCTGTAGTGAGGGTTTAAGAACCAGTCAGACTTTTGCATTATTTATTTGCCATCAACTATTGTAAAAAGTTTTGCTTAAACTATTTTGGTTATTTATGGAAAAGGCGTGTTTCAGGAAAACTTCTAGAATTAAGGTGTTGCTTTTCTCAAACTACCACCGATGCAAATGTAGTTCAGAATATATCTTATCTGCTTGTGTGGCACTCATTTAGGTTAGCTGCAGAAGACAGGAG